AAATACAGGCGCGCACTACCATGCCAGGCTAATTTTTTGATTTATTGTAGAGATGAGGTCTCACTTGCCCAGGCGGGTCTCGAACCCGCGGGCTCAGGCAATCCATTCACCTCAGCCTCCCAAAGGCGCGGGATTATAGGCTGAGCCACCGAGCCCAGCATATGAAGTTTTTCAATACCAGAGGAAGAAGAGGAGTGTTGTGCACCAAAACCACTATTTACAGTTTCTTGGGTTTTAAACATTTAATTTAATGTATTGACATTACAAATGCAAAATCAAAGTTTTGCATATGCTTCTAATTTGAAGCTGAACTTGCTAAATTATAGAGTAATTTTTATATAAAAATACTAATGAGATTTGTTCAATTAATTAACCCATATTGAACAGATGACATTCCTTTATACCGTTTGTTCTATTTACACACATAATTAATATTCCCATAAACACTTCAAGCTCTCTTATACATTTAATGTACTTGATTTTTTTTTTTTTTTTTTTGAGTCTGACTCTCACTCTGTCGCCCAGGCTGGAGTGCAGTGGCATGCTCACAGCCACTGCAGCCTTGACCTTCTGGGCTCAGACGATCCTTCCACCTCAGCCCTCCAAGTAGTTGGAATTACAGGCACGCGCCACTGTGCCCGGCTAATTTTTTTTTTATTTATTGTAGAGATGAGGTCTCACCAAGTTACCCAGGGTGGTCTCGAACCCCTGGGCTTAGGCCATCCTCTCGCTTCAGCCTCCCAAAGTGCTTACAGGTTTTATCTTTTACTTTTATGTTTTATTTTGTAGTACTAGGTTCTCATTCTGTTGCGCAGGCCGGAGTGCGGTGGTGCACTCACTGCTGCCTTGAACTCCTTGAGGTCAAATGATCCTTCCATCTTAGCCTCCTGAGTAGCTAGGACTACAAGTGCAGGCCACCTCATTCTGCCTGTTTTCTTTTTAAATATGTTCAATATCTGGCCATATCATCCTGGCACCTAAAGCCCACTTGTGAACTGAAAATTGAGTTTGAAGGGTAAATCAACTTCTAACCAGCACTTAATGATGTTATCCTATGACTTGTTGCTTCAAGTCATATAACTAGCATGTCAGATTCTCTTGAAAATTACAATCATTGGCTAGGTGCAATGGCTTATACCTGTAATCCCAGTACTGTGGGAGGCCGAGGTGGGAGGATCACTTGAGGCCAGGAGCTCAAGACCAGCCTGGGCAACACAGGAGAACCCATCTCTACAAAAAATAAAAAAACTAGCTGTGTGTGGTGGTGGCACATGCCTGTAGTCCCAGCTACTTGGGAAGCTGAGGTGGAAGTATCACTTGAGCCCAGGAGGTTGAGGCTGCAGTGAATTGTGAGCGTGCCACTGTACTCCAGCTTGGGTGACAGAGTAAGACCCTGTCTCTTAAAAAAAATTATAATCAGTATTTTAAATAACATGCAGATTACTGTGAACTTAATAGTGTTAGCCATTTTAACATTATGGAGTTTGTCATTCCCATGATAGATTCTAAACCTACCTGGGACTTAAGGTATTTACCTAAGTAAGTGGGTTAGATTTACCATCGTGGGTACACTGAGGTTACTGGCCTGAAAATTCAAAACCACAGCATGGTACATTTTTGGTCAAAGATTCAAGGTACATATATGGAACTTGAAAGGCGTATGCTGCCCAGATGAGTACATCTGGGCCTGTGTCACAGGGACTCCATACCCATCCTTTTCAGTTAATATTGATTTGCAACCTACTTATTCTGGGCCATTTTGTCAAATTCCAACAATTGATTGCTTTCCATTCATTTCTTTGTTTCTTTTTTTTTTTGAGTTGGGGTCTTTGTTGCTCAGGCTAGAGTGCAGTGGCACGTTCATGGCCACTGCATCTTCAACCTCCTGGGCTCAGGCCTTCCAAGTAGCTGAAACTACAGGCGTGAGCCACCGCACCCAGCTTAATTTCTTTTTAAAATAATTATTTGGCTGGGCTCGGTGGCTCACGCCTGTAATCCCAGCATTTTGGGAGGCCGAGGTGAGTGGATTACCTGAGCCCGCGGGTTCGAGACCCACCCAGGCAACTTAGCGAGACCTCATCTCTACAGTAAATCAAAAAAATTGCCAGACTTGGTGGCTCAGCCTGTAATCCTGAACCTTTGGGAGGCTGAGGTGAGTGAATTGCCTGAGCTCGCAGGTTCGAGACCCGCCTGGGCAGGCAAGACCTCATCTCTATAAAAAAAAAAAAAAAAAAA